CTTTTTTGAAAACTTTTCCAAAAGTATTTCGCGTCCGGATTCGCTCTCTCACTTGGGTTAGCTCTACAAATGGTTGGATTGAGTTCAGAATTCAATTCTCCGTCGAGTGATACTAATTTCGACTAGGATTATCGGGCAAAACCAGTAGATGACGGTAGCAGTGCCAGGTCGAAATTTCTGGTCCTCATTCACCCTCACCTGTTGATTTTCCCCAACAACCCTAGTCGAAATTAGTATCACTCGACGGAGAACTGAATTCTGAACTCAACCCAACCATTTGTAGAGCTAACCCAAGTAAGAGAGCGAATCCGGACGCGAAATACTTTTGGAAAAGTTCCCAAAAAAGTCAGTATTTAGAGTATAAATGAGATTTTTACTCGATGAGTCCAGTCGAAAATGGCATTATTCGGTGCAGAATTTAATTCTGCATATAACCCAACCAAATAGAGAGCCAAACCAAGTCTAAAAACGAATCCGGACACAAAGCTCGGAAATGAGGCTAACTTTACCTACGTACTGAGAATGAATCTCGATTGTTCACAACTGAATGATGGTAGGAATTATTCTTTATTTAGATATTGATGTGTCATATATGCTATTGAAAATCATTATACAATTTAAATATTTAATTGCAGTTCAATATCATGTGGTAGTCAATATCGTTCTAGATGTTTTCAAAGTGCAATAATTGTATGCCTGTGTCACAGTGCATATCCCTGGATTCTTTATATTCTTTATTTTCTCTTCTTTCGTTATGTGTTATATGTATTCTCTGATATCGTATGATATCATCTCTTTTCTGACCTCGATTAACCCTTGTATTCCTTTTTCTTTTGTTCACGTCACTTATATATATACCGATGTTTTTCTATAAATAAACGAGCCGGTATAAACCGAAACATCACTCCGCATACATCACTCTAACAGCCTGGATGAAATGTTACTTAGCTAACAATTATTATATATATATGCACAGGTTTCATTCTTTTTTTTCTCTTCTTAATCGTTTAAACATAGTCTATTTTGAACTATTATCTTAAAAAAAAGATTAATAATGTCGGCATCAAAAAAAGAAAAAGAACCAATTCATGATGTTGATTTGAGCAATTATGGTATATCAAAGAATCGTTTAGCAACGACGGGTGTAAACTCATGTATTGGCTTTATCGTCTTTTTAAATAATGGTGAAGATATTTTTATCGAACATCTAAGCGATATTAGTCTTCCAAGGAAAATGAATCTTGACAATGTTCGTGAATGTTTTGAAGACATCAGTGAACATATTAATGACGCATTGCCATATGAAAAGGGTGTGTGTGCAGGTGTGGGTGTGGGTGTGGATCTGGCTAAGATGGTATAACTAACGCCCACCTCCACCTCCACACCCACCCTATCTCAGATACAAGCAAAGTGAATGACGGTTAACTTTTGCTGCTTTCATCGTTTTAGTTATCTTGAATGTTTCCCTTTCCGAGTGGATTTCTCGAAGAACATGGAACACCCTGTTCAAGATTGGAAAACGAAATACATAGATTCGATTACGAAATGTCATCCTCATGTTTGAATTCGTATTTTCTGACTTTTCTTTTTCGAGGTCATCGCCAATGAAAATGATGACTATGGAAGTGAACGTCTAGCACATAAAAAAGAAGAAAAACTCGAAAAGGTCAACATAAATACGATGCGAAGCAATCTCAAGTTTTGGCAATAGGTTTGAATTAACATAAAAGCGATAAATGATTTCACCTGAAGTCGATTTTGTACTGTGAAATGTTTCTATTATCGCTTCGGCTCGTAACAGTTGATGGCTTAGCGGACTGGAGATTATCTCGGATGAAAGATGGAGACCAAATCGTCAAAATGGCCTTTTTGTGGGACTTAAAGAAGATAAACGAAAACTCAAATTGAAAATTCAAAACGTTTGTATCATGTTGAGAGATTGATCTTTCGGACAAAGTTTCAACGAGATTTTCAATTATTATTTTAAATGAATGCATAACAATCTGTTGAAATTCTTTTGCAATGTTAATAATAAAAGGAAAATAGACAAAATATATTATTATATAATTATACAACTAATTCTAAAGATATATATCCCTGTTTATAAAATTCGTAAATTTTTTATTCTTCAATAATAGAATATACTTTTAACAAATAAAACAACATCCACCAAACGAATAAATATTGGTATCGATATATTTATTAAACAAGTCCAAATATAGATTTCATTAATGAATGAAATTGATCACTGTCTGAACTTTGCCTTACAGAATCCGTCATGGTTACCATTAATAACTGATAACGTAAAATTTGCATAACTATTATTTCCATTGCTTTTACTGCTTCTTTTTCGACAAATAAATAATTTAAATAACGCCATAGAATAGTCGTATAAAAATTTTGAAACTCAAGTAGGATTCTCTTATTTTTATATTCATAAAATTGATTCATATTCCATGATGCAGATAAATTAACACTAAAGATAAAAACAATTAATGTAAGTTTTAATAATAATGGATAATTCATAAAACGATAAAAATATCGATGTGTTCGAGTCATTTCATAATGAAAATCTTCATTTATCCATTTAGACATATGTTTACCAATGTCTGAACGATCTTGAAAATTACGCATTATCATATAATGCAGATGTATAATATTATTAAAATTAGATTTGATCAATATGATTTGATCATTTATATCTAATTGTTTAAATTCAGGTATACTTTTAAAAAAATGTATTAATGATTCGTGCATAATACTTTCGTTATTCATAAACTGCAAAAGAGAAGACGATGATGTAAATTGATTAGTATAAGAGTAATCACTTTTAGCTGCTACCAATTGATAAGCATTATTTATATTATTTAATAATATTCGATCGTTGTCATGTAGAATATAATTAGAACCAAACAAACTGATTTGATAAATCTAGAATAGGAAGATACATGAATAGTATTCGATTATTTGTATTGTATTTACTGGATTATCAACAAGTTCTTGGCTTGTTGGCTTTATCATCAAACGTCGTTTCTTTCGTAGAGCTGTTGGAAGAGTAATAAGAGATTGCTGATCATTTAGTAGACTATTTGTTTTCTTTTGTTCTCTTGCTAATTTTACTAATTGTCTTAATTGTTTTTCTTCTTCAGTACGAATCCAATCTTTTCGCATTTTAATATCAAAACATTTTTTTAATCGGCAATATGCACATTGACGACGTGTGGAAGTAGTAATAATACAAGAACCAGAAGTTCGACATCTGAGCTGAGACTGAAAAACAAAGAATTATCATTGATATTTCAGTTCATTGTAACTTGGAAAATTTTGGATAGAACTTACAGATTATTGGAACAATTAGTATGATAGATGTAGGTTTTTTTTCCATCTATTGATATTCAACTCCGATGCTTTGTTTCTACCAGAATTGGCCATAGGACAGGAGAGAAAAAGTTGTCCTACGTCCAGCTCTGGTTCTACCTCAAGCAGACTTTGAAAACTATACGATAGGTGCGACGAGCAGTCAAAAAATTGAAAAGTATATCTTTTTTTTCTTCGTTCTCTTGCGATTGTGAACCTTTCAGAAGCCATCGGATTCCGAGCACTCGAAAACTGGATTCTATTGACTACTCATTTTCCACTTCTTGAACATTTTTAGACATCTTCAAACTCATTGAAATTTCGACTCCTGATGCTAAAGAAACATATCAGAAGGATACTTTCGAGAGCTCTAGTAAAAACAATCCATGTCATCAGTTTTGCATCAAAATCTGAAGACATTCTTGCTACTCAAAAGAATCAATTTCAACATGCCACAGCATTTTGTGTCAGATGACAGCGTCTTTAATAAATAATCAAACTCGAAAACTAAGCAAAAACGGTCGATGTAGCTGCTATGGACAGCATGAGCCTGTTCACGTTCCAGAAGATGCGGGATATTGACTAAAATCCATCATGTTTCTGAGTGTCTAAAAACTATTCATGCACTGAGATAGAAAAACAAAACAAGTACAAGAGTGGTGATTAACCAAACCGTTCATCGGCAATTTTCCAGCGATTTGCATGACATGGATTAACATCAACTAATGGAAACTAAAACCAAAACCCGTCTGTGCTCTTAACGAATACATAGTCATAATGAATTGTCAAATTTTGAAAATTTTTCTAAATATTCATTTGATGTATTATCACACAAATCAATTCATCATCAAATATTAAAACAATAAACACAATTATCAAAGTATTGTCTTTTTATAAATTAAAGAAATAACTTTCAGAGAAGAATAATAAGTTTAAACGTTCAACGAAAATAAATCATAAGTACTCATGTTCGAATTTCTTCCTTCGTATATATTGATAGGTTTTCACGATTCGAGAATAAAACATCTGTCGGATAACGCACTTTATTTTGATTGAGTTTCGATCCCCTTAGAAACAATCATTCGTGTGATCAAAATGATCTAATGCTGAGACGCCAATCTATGGAAAGTAAGAAATCAAGGGCATTGATATAGAATTTCGATGGTCAACGGAAGCTAGGAACTGTGCCCAACCACCGGATATCAATTGAACTCATAATTTGTCCATATGCAGAACTCGATGAGACTAACTAGTAGAAGTTCAAAAAGATTCTCCTCATACCTTGTCGTTTCGGATTGATGACCGTTTTTGTTCAATATTAAGCCTCAAACAAGCTACCTAGTCAAATATTGAGTGGCATAGACTTAATCGAAGATACTTCCCATGAGTAGGTCTCACTTTTATTAGATTTCCTCATAAAATGGACTAATATCTTCTTGCTTCTTAACTATACTTTTTCATTTCTTCATTAATTCTTAATACCCTCTAATGAATGTTCTAAGCTCCGATCATTCTCATGTATCTAATTACATATATATTTTTGATACGAAATCATTAATTAACTCAACCTTCGAACAATTCAAAAACTTCTATAATCAAGTATTTGGAATAGAGTCTTCCAAAGTTTGTGAGTTCTATCTTAGTTATTCAATAGTTATTACCATATCCCGAAATGCATTTCGACGAAAAAATGCTTTACATGATTCACAAGTAATTTGATCAAAGTTATAGCCAAGTGCTGGAGCACCACAAACACGGCAGTCGAGATTTGGCAGTTGACATTCTTCTGTTGAATTATTGTTTGATAGTGTTTCTAGTTCATATTGATCAGTCTAGCAAAAAGAACGACTAATTTTAGATATAAAAATACCGAATATAGATTTAAATCTTCTACCTTCAACGATGAAGTTGTCTTATCTTCAATTGTATCATCATGTAACATAAGAGATAGATCATATTCATTTTGAGGATTAAAATCATCAAATAATGGAAATAAATCATCAGAATCAAATGATGACATATGATTCCAATATTGATTACTCGATATTATGATCGTTGTTATCAATATCTAAAATAGTAATATTTTACTTAATATTCACAAAAAAAGAAAAATATCGTTTCTCTAGAAAAATTATATTTGAATCTTTCACTAAGTTTTATATCGTTGTATTTATTATGTAAATGTTTTTTTGTCTTATTTTACTATTGGGTTTGATCCGAAAATGTTTCAAAAAAAGAAATCGATGCAATTCTACTTCGAGAAAAAAAAACAAACTGAAGCATTTGAATTTACGAATAAGCCAATCTTGATTTTGTTTTGCTTCGTTCTATCTCTATGTGACTACTAGATAGAATACTACACTCATCGTCCTTTTTTTGTTTCTGCCGACTAGCGACTTTTAAGAGAATCATGTATGAAAGAAAAAAGCAATATATGTATATTTTTCTATTCTTCAACGCACATGAGTCGCTTGTTTTCGAGGAAAGAATGTAGCTCAGTTTTTTTGTTTGGTCGGTAATAATGTAAATGGGTGATTCATCAAAGAACAAGAGATATAACTACGAAAGCAAACCTTAAAAAATGTGGTGAACGATTACTAACATCATCATAGAAAATGTCATACGCAATAAATCATCAAGAATATATTGTCTAATTGGTATTCAACATTCGTATAATGACGTGATTAGTCATCGAAAAAAAAGTGAAATGAAGATAATTCAGCACTAGATTAGTAAAAACACAATGGTAGAAATCGATTTAATTTAATATTTTATGGCATTTTGTAGAGTGTTATACACGATGTACATCCTTCACTCATGTTGATTATATATATGTATAACTAAGTTTTCTTAGTTTTGTGAAGATGAATTCAGTTTCAGTAAATAAAACTAACCACGAAGTATATATAAGGAGAAGAACAATGTAAATAAAACACACAGAAAAAGAAAAATATAGGTATATACATATATAAATATGATACGTAAAGGAAACGAATAAATTTATACGTAATGTGGGAGAACGTGGAAGGAAAAACACCACTGTAATAGGTTTGAATATATTGGACAAATTTCGGACACTATAAAACATTGATTCAAACTGAAAACGAATGAGTATTTAGCCTTATGATTTTTAGTTGATGAGTGAATCTTCTGTAGGACCATAATTATGAAGTAAAATCATAGTTTTGAGTTTTGATTGCACTTTTTGCATAGACATGGAGATTCATTAAACTTGCTCATACGAAAAAATTCTGAAGTTTCGAACATTACATCTTCGACATATGAAGGTTTGAAAAAAGAGGTACTTTTGCATGAAACATGGATTTTGAAAAAATAATTATCTCGAAGATGTGACGTCCGAATTGATTGAAATCTATGTTTATGGAAAGATTTGGGCCGAAACTCGATATATGTACTAAATAGCAACTTGCACCCATATCCTATCATTTTTTCCAAACAATGAAATATGTTTTTATGATGACAAAAAAGTATGTATTTGTTTTTATATAGAATACCATATGAGTATATTATAGAAATATGACAGCATGATTTTATCACTCATGTATGATCGTTTGAAAGAGTACGAGTATTTTCTTACAAAAAAGTAAACAAAAGGAATTCTTATGGAATATAGTGTCCAAAACTCCTTTGCAATCAAAATTTGTGTAATGATAATTTGAAATCTTTCTTATTGGACTTCGTGAACATATGAATTGTGTTACTTTTTCATTTGTAGAAAAAACAACAAAATGTAGATCATAGGCAAGCACACCAAGTTTTTTGTTTTGCTGATCTTATACACTACAAAGTCCTGTTCCAGCAGAATTATCGTAGTCTAGTTAAATGCATGAAAAGATAAGTACAAGACGGATTTTTCACAAACAATATGGTTTTTTATTTGGCATATTGTGTTTTTCAAAGATTTTCGATAATTTCCATCATCTTCTGTTTGAAAAAGTATGCTTTTTTCGTAAGAAGCAGCAAATCTTTTTATTGTTTCTCTGCTGATGTTTTTTTTGATTGCACATTTCACAATTATTCGAAGGAGCCTCATTGTAGTCAATTATTCTTTTTTTTGGTTGTTTGCATTAAAACTTTTTTTATTATAAAAAAAGAGCATCACAATAAGTAGATGATCATTTTTTGAATGTCTCAAGATACTCAACTTGTTCTCATCTTTTTCTGGATGAAAAGTAACAACTAAAAGATAATGGGATTCTATCAAATAGTGCAGTCTGAGATGGTTTTTCACATAAAAATTATATCTTTCTGATATGTTAAAACCTTGAAAAGTTAGAATGATTCGCTTTTCATCAGACTACAGTCTATAGTTTCTAGTGAACTAGTAAAAATTTCAAATCAATACATTAGTACGTTTTATTTTTATTCATGATACAATCAAAGTATATCTTTTTTTCAACCTGCAAAAATTATCGAATCGCTTTTTTTGTCACACTGTTGTGACCGCATTCTGAGTTGAAATTTTTTAATGATACATGACTCAATAGAAAAAGTACTTTTTTTCTTTGATTTTCTTTCAATACAAGTTTAATAACAATGTCTAGTTGACTTATACAAAAAATTATCAACGACAAGGCAACAAAAAACAATTTTTTCCATATAATGTTTATTTTTGATAAATTGTGCTGATCATCGTAAAATGTTTCTTCTTCAAAAGGTTTTTGCATTATGTTGAAATTAGCATTTATTCTGTCGCTATCATTTCGAAGATTGACGTTTCGATCGATCAGATGATCGAACCTTGAAAGAGTTTGTAAAGTAGCAATTGTCAAACTCATTACTTAGAGAACTCTCTTAACAATTATCAGCATGTTTCTAATCAATGCTATTCATTGATCGCTTCATTCTCTTTCTAATTCATTATCTGTCATCAGCTATATTCCGGCAAACTTTGCCTTTTAGATGACTTTCTCTAAGAAAATGAAATGTCCCGTTGAAAATTGGAACACGAATTGTATAGATTTGATCATGAAATTTCATCCACACGTTTGAATTCGTATTTTTGACTTCATTTGTGAGGTTACTGCGGTCGAGAATGATAACTGTAGATGCATACATCTAGTAAATAAAAAGAAAAAAAAAGAAAATTCGCCAAAATCAACATCAATACAATGCGAAGCGGTCTCAAATGTCGTGAACGTGTTTTGAATTAACATATAAACGATAAACAATTTCACTTAGAGTCGATATTATTGTGTGAAATGTTTTTATTATCGCTCCTGCTCATAACAGCTGACGACTTACGAGGAAACCTCTTCAGGTGACCCCTCGGATTTTAATAAATTTTTGTCTATAGTTACTATATAGTGCCCTAGTAACAGTGTGAGTGAGGAAATAACGCTTATACACCAACATCCTGATCAGAACTATTAATCAGCTATAATTATAAGTTGATATCGAAGTGACTTGATAAATTAAATTAATCGTATTTTGATGCATATTCACTAAATAGAAATATTCTAATTCATGTTTTTCCATAGAAATAGCCATCGATATCAATAAAACTGATTTGATATGCAAAAGCAAATACCTCTATGATCAATTTTTTGACAAAAAAAGCATGTAAAATCTCGAAAAAATCTAAATCGGCCGGTAAGAAGTCCTTGACCGACCATTTACCGTAACCGGTTGCAACATTGATGTGAGATAGACGTCAGTGTGGGCAGGTATAACTGTTTGGGATTGAGCGAAAAAAAGATTCAGAATTGCACTCACCCTGGACCAAAGTTGTAGCCGATCAAGAAATACATGAGCGATCTGGTTCGGCTCGTCTAAAAAAGATTTCCAGACCAGTAACAACCAGCGAGTTCACAAATTTTTTTTATATGATACGACTTATATTAGGGGCAAAAATTCGTTTTGAATACCTACAAATTTTTATGCTTGTCTTTTCTGGAATACTTCTATTGTAATGAGTCCAATTCTGAATTCGTTTATAAGGCTCCCGATAACAAAAAAGGGACCAAACTAGAGTTGTAACCGGTTAAAAATTTTTGAACTGGTTCGGTCCAACCGATTCAAAAAACCTTTTAGATCTGTGGAAATCGGCAAAAAGTGACTGATGTGTTTGGTCATTATTAATTGATTAATGGAAATGGCTTCAAGAGACATTCATTTTTCTTTTGTCGCTCAAGAAAGAAATCTCATATTCTAGTCGTTTATATCTGTTTGATTCCTCAGAGATGAATATGTAAGATATCAATGTTAGAGCGCGAAAAACAGTAATGTATCCATCAACTGATGGCTACATTCCAGATTTTGAATTTTTTCACTCTACTTTTACAGACAAATCTAATGTTTCTCTTCAAACGACGATTCAAACCTAAATTTGATCTTCAACAGAACATTTATCAAATAAGTTTAACTCAAATAACGCAATTTTGATTGTACTTTTTAAAAAAACAGAAGAAAATAAAATGTATATTTTTTTAAACAGCACTTATTGATTATGTTGATAAGAGCACGTAAACTTGCTCTCAATAAGTTTTATCAGAAAAAATGCATATCCGTAAAATATATTGCAATCAGGAAAAATCGATTTGATTATAACTCTGTTGTATACTGGTCTGCATCTATAAAATACGAGCGTAAACGATTCGTATATCTTTATTACTATGTCAATATTTATATTCTCTATCGTATGCTTGTTCATCATGATATTATTTAATTCGGATCTAAAATAAATATTGATACGTGTCATGAGATTTTGTCATTAAAATGATTCTTAGTTGCAATAACTGTTTTCAACATGTAACCATGTTTGTCTTATATTCGTTCCTACAAATGACATATTTTATTTATTATCATTGCACACGTCATAAATGACAAGACGTGTATTTGTGACACAAACATAATGAAATTTCTATGTCAATATTGATAAAAACTGAATTTCACATGAATAGATATGACTTCACTGGCTCAATGAAAATAAAGAACAAATTTCATTCTCAAGTATCAGATCTAAGAAAACGAAACTAATTCATATGTCTATTTTATTTATAAAAGAATAAGTTTGATTTACGAAAAATCAAAACATGAAATAAAAGTCTATCGTATGCTATTTCATCATGATGAAGAGTATCAAAACAACTATGAAAACAAAGTAAGTATTGTTAATGAATTTTATCTGTCCATTTTTAGGTGTTGTTGTTATTTCTCCATCTGCTCCGTTGCAAAGATTAGTATTACAGCAACAAAAATAAATTGAATCACCAGTAGAGTCTGTACGCCATTCACATTTATCTTCTTTACATTGATCAGATAGTGCCCAATTTCGAGCATATATAGACTCGCTAGTTTGATTATCTTTACTAAATGTCTGTATAGAAGAACACATTTATTATAAAAAAATTACATTAAATTTTATACGAAATATTTACAAGACACCAACCACTTGTCGCTATTACTTGTAGAACATTGTTTGGATTCCATGGCTTTGGGCATGCTTCTTTATAACAACTATAACATTTTATGGTAGAACTGCGTATTAGTAGAGCAGCTTCAAATATCAAAGAGAAAGTTTGTGTATGAATATTATTAATATTACTGGAACTTACAAGCACAAAGGATGACGAGAATAAAGGTGAGACGACACAAACGAAACATTTCACTATGTCATAATGAAGCAATCACTCAATTTTTTTTAAAATAAAATTTGGCTTACCTTTGTCAAACAACGTCTACTGAGAAATGCATGTAAATACAAAAAACAACACATTTATAGCAATCATTATCAGTATTTGCTATCAAAGTAAAATAGTGGACGCATCTGATTATACTAAACACCAACTATTATGTGAAAGAATGTAATGTCACGTTTCATGATGCAATTAAGCAAAATATTTTGTTTTTCTGTTAATCACGAAGAATGATGGTGTGGGTATGCATGTAGATGTGGGTCAGGGAGCAGATGACACCCACACCCACATCCACAACCAACAAGAAACAACTTATGGAAGAAAAACATGAAAAAAATATATTATATAAATTAATAAAACAAAGAAATACATGAACAAGAAATAACAAGATGAGAATAAATCCCGATACAGCAAACGTCATAAATAATTCTAAAATAAAATTAACAAAAACACAATTATAAGTACTTGCAAGTGGATTGAAATTTGTACCAATACCTACATCAATAAACGTAATAGATATGATAGCCAGCACAAAAAGATCATTAAAAACAATATCAACTATAATAAAACAAGCCACAGTTACAGAAATATCAATATTTATCAATAAATAGAAAAGATCAAAAGTTGATAACATGAATAACAAAGAACGTAATGCGATGAAAAATTTACAGAAAATCAAAGATATAGTTATAGTACCAGCAGATAAAGGTGGAAAGGTGCCAGTAATGGACAGAATCGAATATATTAATAAAATCGGAGAAAAATTAAACGACAAGTCATTGTATGAAAAAGTACAAGACCCAACACATAACATAAAGAAGAAAATTTCTAAATTGATAAACAGATTACTAGAGTTCAATCGAATAAAAGAAAGTTTAGAACATGAATTAATGTCAACTGATAACATCCCAATAATAAGAGGTCAACCTAAATTACCTAAACAAAATCATTCGATTAGAATTGTAAGCTGTACAAGAAATACTATTACCTCAACGTTATCCAAATTAACATTTTCATACATAAAACAATTGATTATACCATATGTAATACATCAAAATTTATTGATGAAATAACTAAAACAAAATTAGATAAAGAAGATAAATTTATAAGTCTGGATATCGAAGATCTATTTACAAATGTTCCAATGTCACAAGCAATAGATATTGTAATGGACAGAATTGGCCCTTCAGAAAAATTCTGTGAATCTGATCTCATCGGAATAGACCTAAGACAAATACTCACAATACCACTGAACAATAGCTATTTTCAATTCAATCGGAAATTCTATCGACAAAAAATATGGTCTACCAATGAGACATACTCTCTTATAGATATTTGCAGACCTCTACATGCATGATTACATAGAAAAATGTATGGAAAATCTGAATGAACCTGACAAAATTTAGAGTTACATATATAATATTTTCATTATAGCAAAAATGAAAGAAGTAGAAAATTATGTGAAATATTTGAACAAAATAAAAAGCAAAATTAAATTTACTTGCAAACATGAAAAAGATGGAAAAATAAATTTTCTGGACACAACTTTATCAATGAATAATGATGATAACATTGGTATTCAGTGGTTCAGGAAAGAAACAGCATATGATGAAGAATATAGCGTTAAAAATTATTGAAACTACAAAAAACCAAAAGGAACCAAAACAAGATTTAGATAAATTAAGAACAATACCTACAAAAGCAAATTATCCGATACACATATTTTGACAAACATATGAAAAATACAGTAAAGCTACATATTCAACAACGAAAAAACAAACGAACCATCAAAAACCAGAATTAAAATATTGCATTACATTACCATATGTAAATAGAATTGCAATCTTAAAAAGGGAATTAGCTGAAATAAATATTAATGGATTTTTCTCTTACCCGAACAAGTTACAATCAAAATACAAATATAAATAAACCAAATTCTAGATCAAATATATATCAAATAAAATGTATATGTGGAGCTGTTTATAATGGAGAAAGTAAAGTTAGACTAGAAAAACGTATGAAACAACATATAAGAACAATTGAACAAGATGACGAAACAACAAAATCAAAAATGGTTGCACACTATCGTAAAAATAGATGCAAATGTATGTTTAAACCAACTAAAGCATTCATCATTGATAATGAAATCATCCGAAAAAAAAAGAGTTGAGATAAGCTACATATAAGAATGTATGTATGAAGCTTATCCTGGATAGTTTGAACCAATCAGCTTGTATTCCATATTCAACTCTTTTTTGTCTAGCTTTTAATAATAATGTCAAAATGCGGATGGTGTGATATGCATACATATTCGAGTTAAAAAATAAATTGTTTGAAAAAAACAATCAAATTCTTGAATTAGAAAGAAAAGCTATTGACGAACAACTCCCGATTTGATATAACGTAAAAACTAAGAGATTAAAAACCTTTCATTCCAAAATCGATTGATCCCTTATTTTAAACAATATTTTAACAAATATTTTTTTCAGTACTATAAAGTATTAATTTAACATACATGTAAATATAATTCAAATTTAACTCTAAACAGAGATTCAATTCGTATTTTCATATTGTAGCTTCTTCATTCTATCTATGGCAAAATTTTTCATATTCTTATTCATATTTATGGAATATGATACATCATTGTTTAGATCAAGCCGTTGTAATCATATAGGGTAGATTGAAAAGGAATAATTGAGCTATAATCATCATCTTTTTTATTTTTATCGTTTATTTGTACTTGTACTCGTGATACTCTAACTGTTTTTTTTTTATTTTGATCATTAAACATCATATATTAAAACAAATTATGAACAGTAATAAGTCTAATTTAAACATAACGATTAGTCAGAAATAATTATTTTTCAATACTTCATGATGTACTAAATGAAGACTTACAAATAAACTAGATATAAATATAGATTTATTTCATTTAACCACGTTAAGTTCTCTATTTAACAACGAAGATGTCAAAGCAATCTTGTATTCTCTTGAAATTTCAATGAACTGAAAGATGAAGAAATTCACTTGAGACTCTAATAAAATGCTTGATCGACAGCTGAGGACAACTATTGATAATTCGAAAACATAGAACGTAAAATGGTATAATGTGGACTACTGGATTTGGATTTTGCTCACTTTGCACGACCTGTTCTGTTTTTTTTTGTGTCTTTATCTCACTAATTTGATGTTCATTCTCTGTTTATTAACAGCCTTTATATGGGGTATAACGAATTGGTTTTTAAAACAGGGTTCGACAGGTTTACAAAAAATTAAATATGACAATCGAGTAAAACAATTTGGTGCTGAAATCTGGTATTTTCTCACCAATGCACAAGTAATACAAAATATTGGTTATAAATAAAAATTATTTACTGATTTTATGTAGTATTGGATTCCATTTTTATTAAATCAATGTGGTTCTGTACTTTATTATTATAGTCTTTCAAAAACTGGTGAGAATATTTTCTTATAATTTGTTGCTTTTGATTTATTTTTCTATTAGATTTTTCGACCGCTGTACCTGTAACAAATGCTTTGACACTTTTGATAACATATTTATGTGATGTTATTTCACGTCCACAATTATTAAATTCAAGTAAGAGTTTTATTTATTTATTTTTAAATATATCAAATAATGGTTTTTAGGATTTTTAATTGGTATGTTATGTGTCACAAGTGGGGTGGCTCTTTGTGTTATATCCAAACCTCATTAAATGTTTTCATTTTGTCATATGTGATATATGTATAAATATGATAGATTTGTCTTTTTTATACATGTTTCAAACAATTATCATAATTTATAAAACAAATACTTTATTATTTTCTAGATCACAAAATGTTCACTAACATTAGTAATCGAACATTTTCTATTATTCGTCATTGTTTAAAACCTTCATTTTCTATGCGAATTCAAAATGCATCGACAAGTGAGAAATAAGTTTTTTGTTTAGAAGGCTGTCTTAAAATTATTATTATTATAGAAATACGATTTAATTATGAAGATGCATTTGATCTTGAGTCTCAATTAAAAGATGATGAACGAATGGTACGTGATCAATTTCGCGATTATTGTCAAGAAAAATTAATGCCAAGAATAATTGAAGCAAATAGAAAAGAAAGTAAGTCAATTTTATTCTTATTCTAAATTAGATTGTTTGTTTTAGTTTTTGATAAGGAAATTATGCGTGAATTAGGTGAGCTTGGTGTTCTTGGTCCAACTATTCAAGGTTTGTACTTAGTTTATTACTATTATTTTTTTGAAATATAAAAATTTAGGTTATGGTTGTGCTGGTATTTCATATGTTGCATATGGGCTATTAGCTAGAGAAGTTGAACGGTATGGAAAAAAGCGAGGGAGAAACAGCAGAGACTTCAATCTTGAAGTTTTAAGAAGAAAAATCATTTGTATAGTGATAAAATTCAATTTTCGAACTAATATCGATTATAAACAATAGAGCTGAATAAAAGCTACTAAATAGAATTGATTTCATTTTGAAAACATTCCATCGTAAATGGAGACAAAAAAGAAATTTATTAAAAAATGAACTCTGTTTCGGAACAAAAGTATTCTAGGTATTTTTTTTGTAACAATTGAATAATTCAATAACGAAACCGTATAATGATCTAAAATTTTCACACTACATTTCTAGGCGTTCAAAGCCTAAGGGAACCTCCTCTTTCCAGAGTTTTTGGAGAATGATTCATTAGAAAAATTTGAAATTTTCAAGATAGATAGATAGATCTCAATGAGTAGAGCAAAAGTTTTCTCAGACTCAAAATCTCCAAAATGCTTTCTTCTAGGAGATATCAGAGTCGCAAAGGCTAAAAATTACCCTCCTAATTGTCCTACTTTCTCAGTTGAAACACGTCCCGTAGAGCTAATGATTATATATGAGACTCTATGTGGATTGCCTATTTTGTTCATTTTATTTTTATTTCCTTCTATCTGAATGAACAGAAAAATAT